GTTATATCCTTTAATATGCATCATGGACCCCCGATAAAATTTATCAAGTACTAAATATGTAATTGATCATATTTCAAGAGCTTTAACTTTTCATACATCTATCACTTATAGAAATTTAAAATAAATTTTATGTGAAATGTGTGAATTATATATATGCAGAACGAATTGATGCAAATATTAGTCGGGTACCCTCTGCACCTACTCCTCCCGCTGATATTGAAGAGAACGACGCTGAAATAATAACTTTTTTCGAAGGTATTAACACGTATAGATATGATGCAAATGCAATAGATCCCTCTAGTAGTTGTTTGTATACCTCATGTAATCAAACATCGGACGCAAGTCCAAATGCATTGCCTACTAAATTAATTTATTAATTTAATTATAACATGCCTAATAAAAAAACAATTAAAAAAAGTTCAGAAAAAATAATTGAATTATGGCGAAAGTAGGAACAACGATGGTCACTGGTTTCTGAAATTGCAAAAGACCTACTAATGCCTCCTATTAGTACTGTAGCTTCAGAGTTTTAGCACATGTAAGAGGGTTTTGTTCGAGGTCAGGAGCAGACTAAAAGAAGATATTTTGGAAGCATTAATGTGCGTAAAGTATTGGCAATACGCTCATTTCCGACTGCAAGATAAATATGCCAAAATTGTATGTCGTTAGGTAAGTGATATTTAATTTAACCATATTAATCAAAATTTGTTATTTTATAATATTGTTTTTAATTCTTTAACTCTGCCTACTCGAAATTTAAGTAGTCAGTCTCAAACCCAAATAAATGAATAGGCTTTAAAAAAATAAAAAGGAAACTTAAACGAGCTCGCCCCCTCGAGTAATGAGTCGAGGCAAGACAAGCCAACTCGGCTCGACCCGACCCATTGTCATGTCAATCAAATGCCCAAAGTGCTCTTTTATTTAAGTTCAACAATTAGATTTTTTCTACTAGACGGACATGTGGGGTGGTCGTCCAGTACAATGGGGCGAGCAAGGGGTAGCAAACACTTTTTTCTAGTTTCGATTGCTTGTTGCTCGACTTCAAACGCTCATAATATTTTTACAACTCCAAATTGCAATCCATTATTTACGTTGAACCCCAAAGAGTAATTGGCGCAAAACGTCCCTACTTTTGACGGGTTTTGTGCAAAACGTCTTTATTTTTCATTTCTAGGAGCAGAACATCCCTACCTTTAACATTTTTGGCGCAAAACGTCATTTTCCCCAATTTTTTACCATTTTACCATTTTATTAAAATAAAACAAAAACAAAAGAAAAGAAAAATACAGAATAAATTGTAATCTTACTTCTAGACTTATCTAAAAATGAAAATGGGTCCAAACCTTATAAAAATATTTAAAAAAACCAAAAAAAAAAAAAAACTCTCTTAATCTCCTAGCCGCCAGTTATGGACCCAATTTCCACCTCATTCCAGCCACCAATACCGTCGGATATCACTACCAACTTAATCTCCTCAATATCCTCTACAATTTCTACCCAAGAACTCCCCATTTCATCCACTTATATGCCCGAAATCATGCATCAAAGCCAACAAATCGAAATTTTGCAACCTTCCGGAAATCTCTCCTCCGGCCACCGTCATGGTCGCGGACCACCATAAACTGTCTGCCCAGGTCTAGGAGACACTGAATATGGCCCCAATTCACTCCAAACAACACACCATCAAACTGAATTAATTCATAAAACAGCGCCAGTCGCGAGCTCTTCTCTACGCTCCGAAGAACTCTGATTCTGGCGCCGTCCGGCCAACCCAAGGTCGCAGACCACCTGGGTTGGGTTCGCCTTCATCAAGAGCAGCTAACCCACTAATGGGTCAGACCCAATTACGCCCAAAACAGGTTCAATTTTCGTCTGAATTGTTCGCTTGTGTGAACTTGCGGGTTGCCTGCGTTGTAATTTTTGAATTTGATTTTCGGCCAAATCAGTCGGAGTTGGAGCTGGTGGTTAGGTGGGTTGTGAAGAGGGCAATGAGTGTTTCAAGGTGGTATGTTGGTCCGGCGGCCAAGGTGATCGGAGGTTGAGGAATTTGCCTTCAAAAGTGTTGGATTAGGGGTGATGATTTTTTCATGTTTGTGAGTGATTTGCACATTTTTAAAAGTTTGGACCCATAATTACCATTTATTTTGTATTTTTCTTTTCTTTTTGTTTTATTTTCTTTGAATTTTAAAAGTTTGGACCCATAATTGCAATTCATTATGTATTTTTCTTTTCTTTTTTTATTTTAATAGAAGGGTAAAATGGTCAAAAAATTGGGAAAATGACGTTTTACATAAAAAAATGTGAAAGGTATGGGCGTTCTACGCCAAGAAACGAAACCCGTCAAAGGTAGGGATGTTTTGCGCAAATTACCCAACTCCAAATCTTATAATCCTTCCAATGGTATATTATTTTCCCTGTGAAAGTATTTGTACAAAACTTTGTACAAAAAAATTCTCACATGCTCCGCACGTTAGTTCCTCATTTTGCGTATTTTGGTCGTTTTATGTCTTAACTTCCTTTCTTTTTCATCAATCATCTATTAATTTGGGAATTAAACTATAGAAAATATAAATGAATATGAGTATAACTAGTCGATTGATTCCTCAAGTGTATGAATCGTGACAAGTATTAAAGTGGAAGCAGTAAGTAGATTTAGTTTGAGTCGGAATGTCGTTCAACATAGACTAAATATTTTGCTCTCAATTTTTATTCTAATCTAGCTTCAATATAAATTAATATAGTAAGTAGTTAACAAATCAAAGTGTTTATTTTATAACTAATTTATTCTAAGCTAATCTAACTAATCTAATTTGTGAAAACTTTTGGGATTAAGTGGTTAGGAATTTCAATTCCACTTACGTTATTTAACATTCATTCAATCAAAATCATTCAACCCCTTTTTTATATGTATTAATAATCGAATTAGCCAATTTTAATTAGTAATTTCTCTCGAGCAAAACTAACTCTATTCAAATGCTCAAATTTATTATATCTTTATATAAATTCATACACAAGCATTAAATTATAGGAATTCAATCATAATTGCATAAAATATAATTAATTCTTGATCTATTATAAAACGTATGTCACTTATTACACGAACTAGACAAATAAATCACACTTCGATCTTAATATTGTCCTTAAATCAAACAATTCGTGATCAATATAATTAAAATATAATAAGTGATCAACACATAATCAAGTTGTAAGAAATTTTTTAAATTAAATAAATATTAAATCTGAGCTACATCATTAATCCTAACGATTAATTATTTCATCAATCATGTAATTGGAATTAAATAATAAAAGAATTAAAAACATCATCATGTTAATTATAATAAAGGAAAAAAAGAATTCAAACAATTGTTGTTCTTCAACATCCAATTCTCAACAATGGATTCTCAAACTCTTCTTAGATGATTGTAAATATCCCAATCAATTGTGTTATTCAACCTTCAAATCCCAAATTAAGATACGAATCTTGAGAAATTTTTATATAAGAATGTTTAATTTAGCTTTAAAATTGTATCTCTAGTATGTCCCTCTATTTTTCATTGATAATAATATTTATAGACCTTAATTTAGGTGCAAATTGTGCCCCCAAAGTGAAAGGAATGAAGTTTGATCATAATTAGGAGTTCTAAAAAATTGCAATTCAGGTCCGTAGACTTTAATTGAGGGATTGTAAAGATATATAGACTACAATTGCATAGGTCTGAAGATTGGGGACCGGCGTTGCAAATATTGAATTTCTGTTAATTGTTCAGCCTACTCCTCCTTTATTTTCAATACAGGTCCTTCAACTTCCAAAATTGATATCTTAGTCCAACAAATTCCAGATTTCATCCCACTTTAATCATTTTTTTATTATTAATTCTTGTTCCTTTTCCTCCTTTCTCGTCCAATGCCAAATTTTCTCCTATAATCAATTAACAAACATAATCAAATATCAATTTCATTATAATTACTCTCAAAGGTAATTACTTTTGAAGGGTAAAATAAGTGTAAGTTTTGCACTT